GTATTACCCCTGCATAGGTTTTTGTTATAGCAAATGATACATTTTACCACTTGCATAAGCCGTTTTTTACCACTAGCATATGGCATATTTTGTTACTTGCGACTCGCAACTTGGTACTTCGCATATGGCACTTTTTCTAGGTCGTACATACCTCTGGCAGTGAAAGGGTCAAAGTTGATGGCAGTGAAAGGGTCAAAGTTGATGGCAGTGAAAGGGTCAAAGTTGATGGCAGTGAAAGGGTCAAAGTTGATGGCAGTGAAAGGGTCAAAGTTGATGGCAGTGAAAGGGTCAAAGTTGATGGCAGTGAAAGGGTCAAAGTTGATGACAGTAAAAGGGTTAAAGTATGTACCAAGTTTGCACAAAATCCATCTATACACGGACAAGATCTGGTGGAATGGCAGAAATGCTTGATTAAAATGGCCACCATTCACCATCTTGAATCATGTCATGAAACGAATTAACGTGCAAGTGTATCCCAAAATATATAATGTGCATGCTAAGTTTAAACGTGATTGGCCAAGGTGTGTCTGAGATGTAGGTCTGGACAGACAGATGGACTGACAGGTGCATGGATGGATAGCCATCCTATTTTTGGATTTCATCCGAACAGGCCTCGAACAGGAACTGAATATAACATTATCACAGACTTCTACTTGTTATGGCTAAGAGAATTTTATGTCACATACCATGCATAGGTGTTATAGTTGCAGACTTTAACAGATTGCTCTGTGATGTATCATACTGATGTTTCAATAAATCAACTAACTGTGTCATAAACAGCACTTTACAACACTTGATTTCATCTGTGTTTGTAACCATAGCAACCTCCAAAATACCAGGTGATGTGGGAACAATACTGAAACACCAGCCAAGGTTGCATACAAATCTGAAAGATATAAAACAAACATAGTATTCATTTTTGAGAGGCTATTTCTGATGGGATTATTAAATGCACCTGATTTTTATTATAGTTGACATTGTAGCTATTTTTCACCATACAATGTTAATATGAATTGTTTGTTGATTCACAGTCCAACTGTTATTTGTTGAGAGAATTGTGGGAGCTGAGCTTTATTCACTTTATGAACAGCTTTTAGTTTGTCAGAGACTACCAACAAACTAAAGATTTATTGTGAACTCACTTTTCAAATATCATCTTCCACATCAAAGCTCCACTCTCACATTGCATGGCTTTAGGACTAGATACCAATTCATATGCATGGTGAATTATCTGTGTTGCAGAAATTGTTAATTGCCATGGGTAATACGAAGTTAATATCTTGTATGATAACTCTCTGATTTCATTTGTTCCATCTTCTATGCAATGTAGAATTATATTACCATGCCTACAAGAGAACAGGTTGCTACAGTGTATCAAAACAAGATATTGTTTGAAATGTATGGTTATTGATTTTTGCATAACACACAAAATATAATTATTTATTCTTTAATCACTTATTTATTTCATTTGATACTTTTCTTTTCTTCAGAATAAAGTAACATTTTGGACATTTCAGTTTGAAAAAATTGTCCTGCACAATTGCATTACATGGCCTTGATACTCACTCAGATGAGAAGAAATTCCACTTGTTATTATCATTTGCCCAAGCTAACAGCATTTTTATGGAATCTAAATAACAGAAAAACATGTCAAGAAAATTTACAGTTAAACATTAAATGATATAATTTTGTTCACAATGATCTGTTTAATTTTATGTGCATCTTAAAGAAAATGTTGTTCATCGAATAGAGCGCCCTCACACAAGCATTTTGAAATGTATTTGTTTTCCAGTCTTCAAGGTTTCAATTTAGGCGTTTAGGGTGGGGTATAATTCACTTAGCGGGAAAGTAGGTTATATAAGTTATTATCATAACCTATGAAAGACAGTGAAATCCTACTATGTTTCTGGCAACCCTTAGATGGTATGCAATCATTCCTGTGGTTATTG